AAAATCAAAAGTTATAAAAACAAATTCTATGGGACTGGGAAGAAGAGAATGGCACTGCGAAATATTATTTTCTACTTTTTAGTCCATTTATAGAAGCGTGGTATATTAAATTTTTTATTTTTTTTTTTCATATATATATACATACGAATATTAGACTGCATCACTCCCCATACAAAAAAAAAATCAGTACTGTTGTTCGATTGGAATTATAAAGTCTATTATATTTTAAGACGTCCACCAAAATATTTCGGGAAAATATTAAGATTTACGTGAGCTGGACCGATAAAAATGGTTTCTTAAAGATGTTTTTTTAAAAAATCCTTTCAAATGACAAAACGGTTTAGGCTTAAAAGATTTACAGAAACTATTTTTATTCATAAAAAACTTCATTTTTGGGGTTATTTTCAAACCGGTCCAGCTCGCTTAAATCAATATTTTTTCAAAATATTTTGGTGGACGTCTTAAAATATAATAAATTTTATAATCCCGGCGGAAAAATCGCAACTTTTTTGGTGATGCAGTTTAATGTATACAGGGGCGCTCCCAGGAATATATTTTGGGAGGGGTTTTTACCTCTAAAGATATATCACCAGAAAATACTGAAAATTCGCTTTATGCAAATTTTATGTACAGTATGTAATAATTAAAATTAACTTTTTAAAGTTTCATAGATTGCACTTTATTTGCATAAACTTAAATACTCATTTTTTATTATTTCGAATACGGAAAAAATTAACTGAACTTGTATTTTTATTATGTATGTATGTAGCTCATTTTGGGGGAACGAATTCGAAGTTGGCAAATTAATCTTCGAATCCTTGTTAAGTTCATATCAGTGGTAAACTCTTTTAGGCTGTAAAGTGTAAAACACAACATTAATAGAGTATGCATTGCATATTTTTAGGACAATGTTTTCATTCTATCAAAATTTCTAAATCAGTTTGCAGCTGTCAAGAAAAAAATTCTCGTTTATTTATTTCTTCTAGAAAATTTACAGCAAAAGCAAAGTGCTTGTTCAAGCAACAGAATAATAAAAAATATTTCTTGTGATTTTTCTTGAGAGCGGGATTCTAAGCTTTAAGGTATTTGCGGTTTTAGCTTTAGGGGGGGTTTGAACCCCAAAACCCACCCCTTGTGTGCGCTAATGAATGTATGTATGTATGTACATATAGCAGCAACAAATTTCATTTAACGAAATGGCGTATCGTGCGGCTCCGCTAAAGCGTAGTGCATATTTTAGGCGTAGTAATAGTAGGTTTGTCCCAAAACAGTCCAGAAAGCGTTCCTCACGTTAGAAAAATGGGTAATAGAGAGCGAATACCTTCCACATTTGTATCGTAAATGTCTTCGTCTTCGTGCCAGAAACAGCCCGGAATTTTCTGGCAGTAATGTGCAGGAAGTCAATTTGAAATAACAGCTATTGTTTGTTTACATCTGATAGCAAATTTTTTAAAATATAAAAATGGAAAATATCACTAAAGGTTCAAAAATGTAGGTAGTTGCTAATTTTATTAGCTATATAAGATAAATACACAAAGTCATTGTTTAGAGCTGATTTTTTGATTCGGGGCACCAAAAGTGTTTTTTGCGTTCCTCACGCTCTGGGCACTTTTGGCACGGGTTGACACATTTTTTAACACTTATGAGAGAGTTCGAAGACATGTAGGGATAGGCTTGGGGTAACCCCCCATGGGCATCACAATGAGCCTTCGCGACCTCCGAGTGAACTCTTTGCAGAGCTGCCCGTTTAACCTAACCTATGAGAGAGCTTATTTTTACGCTCTAATTACCGAGCCCGGAAAGCGCGTGGAACAAACGTAATAATGCGGTTCTTAAATATTTGCCTACTTCCGCCAAGGTAAATATCTAGACTAGTTTTACTAATTCTATGTTCTTTGCTATGATATCTACCAACGAGGTTGATGTCTAGACTAGTTTCTGCATATTCTATGTCTGGACAAACAAAATTCCGAAATGATAAAAGCGTGGTAAAGAAGCATCGTTGCAATATCCTTCTTCACTTGCAATGATATTTACTTCTGTCCAAACACCTATTAAGAACTTCGAATTTCCTGTTTTTGGTTGGCAACGCGGTGGATAGTTACGAATGGATTACAGCATATCATTTTTGTACTTTGCGGAGCGGAGCTACATATTCGTAACTATGAAAATTCGGATTACAGCATATTAGTACTAGAAATATCCGGCGTACTGCACTGAGTATTTTTGTGTCGTTACACAACATCGGTGACAACTGCATTCAATTCAATGCATTAGTTTTCGAGTGATGTGCGTACAAATATACATACAGACAGACAAAAATTATAAAATTTGTTTATTTGGCTTCTGTAATGTGCATACATACATCTGCCTGTTACAATTTTATCATATGTATAGATTACACTGCGCAACAGCATTTCTGATGATTAGGTTATGCTACTTGATACTAGTCTAATTTTTATTGTCGATTTCAAATCTGGGATTGGAATTTCTCTATCAGCTCTAGTTCAGAAAATATGTATTTTTGAATAAAACAACATATTTATAGTTAATCTAGTTTTATTAGGATCTTAAGTTGAACAAAACTTTGTTTTATAAGATTTGCTTGCAGAATTTGAAGACAGAGAGCTGTTCTGAATGATCCAAAAATAGTCAGCCATCGTACTAAGGGCGCTGTTACGTAGACGATCATATGATCCCTGGTCAAGGCACTTTTTCTCTCGTTTTTTCCATTCTTACTCTCTTTGACCAACATGCTGTTATGCAGAAGGTCAAATGACCAGCGTATTTCTTTGGCTCAGTTGTATTCCTTCGGTATATTTTTTACTACTTTTTACATTTGTAAAATGACGAAAAAATAAGATACGGTATTTGTATGTGCATAAAGACATGTCAAAAGCAAAGAAAACAAGGGTTGCGAGCACTAAATTTTTTCTACATATCTGTGTTCGTATGGAAAAGTAGCTTATGTCGAAAGGCTGGCTTTAGTACAATGCGGCATTCCCTTTATTTCTTAAACGGCAAGGAATTTTTTGATGAGACTTAATAAGAATATTGACTTGCTAGTATCGGAACTATTTGTTCCACGTTTATTTGCCAAAAGTTGTTCAACGGCTTAGCGCCAGTGAGTCATTCGCAGTCGTATGCTGCGAATGCCGATTTATACTAAAGCCAGCCTTTCGACATAAGCTACTTTTCCATATGAACACAGATATGTACTATTTTGTGTACATCTGCAGCAAAAATGTACCATTCTGGTACTAAAAGGATAAATAGTTAAAAAATACTCCATTTGGCTACTAAAAGGAACAAATAGTAAATTGTTTTCCCAAGCCAACCCTTTTTTGATCAGTGATTCGGTCTCAGCCGGCTGGTCAAATTTGAACCGATTGGTCATGCGGTTAAGTTCTCTCGCTCGCTCAAAAATTTTTCGTTGTGCAGTGAAAACAACAACAATTGGTGACCAGGGATCATATGATCGTCTGCATAACATCGCCCTAAGGTGAACGCTATAACTCGTAAACAAGAGCTGCTAGAGGGTACATTTAGAATCAGCGACGTCAAAGTAGTAAACATAGTCTGTCATAAGGCACTCATCAGGAATAAAGTGCAATTTCGAGGCGGGGCCCATTTTCACCGAACACGGCGGCAGTTTCGGACTGCAAGTCGTATCCGCACTTTTGTGTTTATTATATTATATTATTGTCTTAAAGCATAAACAGACGGCAGCGTTGATCCGGATCAACTCGAGAATTAACTGCAGTTGATCCGAATTAAGTCCGAGTTAATCCGGACCAACGCTGCCGCCTGTTTAAGCTTTTAGTCTATATTTAAAAATGTTCTAACTATATTGCACGTTTTAGGTATCACTTCTTTTTGTATTGTGTGATGATTTTTTCGTATACTTATTATTATTATTATTGAAGATCACTATGTATTTAAGCTCAATGGATGCTTACTCTATTCATTGTTGCAACTTGGTGTACACCTGTTTTGCCTAATTTAAAGATCTTACTAATGTACCTAGTGAGATTGATTGACTTGAAACTTTCTGTTTCGTTTCAGTAATACAATAAAATAGAATATATGGATCCACCTGAGGAGCAATTTGCTACGTTAAGTCTAAATGAGCGTGTGTTGGTTACGTCGAATGCGTCGAAACTCGTAAAAGAACTTCCCGGTGGCTCAGCTAACGAAATTATATCACAAATAGACAACGGGGACATTGCTGAAATCGCTCCGAACATGATTTCCATAGCCACTTGTACTAAAAGTTCTAAGAAAGTCGGGCCGACAGTACCAGCAAAACCCTTCAGAAAGAAGCAAGATTCTCCTGAGGTTTCTAAATTTTTTATTAACTAAACGTGTTAAGCACTTATTGGGTTGGCAAAAGAGTAATTTTCGTTTTGGGAGGAGTGCATTAAAAACATACAAAATGTTGATCTTGTAATATGGTCATTCAAGAGCACGTGAACAAAAAAGCGTATACAGAAACCAAAAATAAACTGGGACAGGTCGCACATATTCTAACAACCAAATTCAGAAAAAAGAAGACTAACTGCTTTATAAATAGAAAAGTTGTATGAAAATGTCAATTTATAAAGCTCTTTGAACCTATTTTATTTTTTATGAATAAGGCTATACAAATTTTAGCTCAATTAAGATATTCTCCGATATTCATGAAAGTGGCTGCATTTATTACGTATCACATTAGCACTACATTTTTTTAAATTGGAACAGTTAACTACGCCATCATTTCGCACATTTTTATTATAATTTGTTAAAAATAAACCTAAGGTAAAGTCGCCTTTGCCCATATGATTATCATGTGCAAATAAATAGTTTTTCGCATTTTCTGACAAACGTGTTATTTTGAGTTGTGACTCTTGAAGACGGTGTGCGATTTGTAGCTTTCTTGTTGGAAACCTAGTGGATCTAGTCGATAGAATCGACATATCGAAAATTGTAACAGTAGTTTTTTTTTTATTTTTATTTTTTGTAAAAAGAAAGAAAATTCAGCTTTCGTTTTTTTGGTTGTACCTACCTAAGCAGTGCTAACTCTACACCATACACCTAGTCGATTAAATTGAGATATAATTGTAGCTTTTCGTTGTAAAGCTTAGTATCCAGCTCTTAAGAAAACGGTCAAGAAAAAATTGCCATTATTTCGCGTGTGTGTCCAAGGAATTTTGACATTTTTGATAACGCACAGCCTGTTGCCTCACTCTTTCCTCAAGAAATAATGGAACGGGCATATATTTCTGTTGCAAACCTGGGTTGCCTTGTGCTCTTTTTTCACAAAAAACTTTAGAAAACCGTAGTAGAAAGCGTACTAAATTTCTGAAGACCTGCGTACTGCTTTAAGGTAATTTGACTCAAGAAAATTTCTTAGCCATTTCTTGTACGTCATTTTATATGGAGTTTTTGCTTTTCTTAAGAGCTGGATACTAAGCTTAAGGTTGTAAAAAGAAAAAACTTAGCTTTCGTTTTCCTGAAAACAAAAAAATTTAATTGACAGTTTTTCGAGAACAGTAGGGTACGAGTGCGTTAGATAAGTCTTCAGATCTGGCATTTGAGTCGATCTGACGTTTACATCATTAAAATTTTTTAGTATAACCGTAGTCAGTACGAAGAGAAAATGTATATTTCAAAAGAAGGTTTTCATTGGATTATTTTTCGGCTTTCGACGTGGATTAACACAACAGTGGATCGATGAACTTGTTTCGACTGTGAAGCACCAGTGTTTATAATTAGTACAATACATCGACGCTGTGCGCCGGATATGTACATTAGGGTGGCTCAAATTTTTTCCTCCAGCCACCCCCCAGATCGAAGAATATCAAAAATAGAGACACACGTATTTTTTTATTTTGAAATCGATTAATATCTACCCGTCCGCCGGGGTTTGAAGTTTGTTACATTAGGGAAAATACATTTTTTCGTAAAATTGCTATAAAATCGTTAAAAATAGATAATTTTTGATCAAATAAGACTGTTTCCCTTCAGAAGTCTTCAAAAAATAGCACTGATATTTATTTAACTTAAGAATTTTACTAATTTAATTTGCCGGCCGCTGTGGTGTAGTGGTAAGCAGTGCGCGCTTCCACTCCGCAGCACCTGGGTTCAAACCCTGGTCAAAGCAACATCGCAAAAATATAGATAAAAGGTTTTTTCTTAACAGCGGTCGTCCCTCGGCAGGCAATGGCAAACCTCCGAGTGTATTTCTGCCTTGAAAAACAGCTTCTCATAAAAATACAATCGCCGTTCGGAGTCGGCGTAAAACTGTAGGTCCCTCCTCTTTGTGTAACAACATCAAGGCGCACGCCACAAATCGGAGGAGAAGCTCGGCCAAACACTATCATATGTGTAAGCGCCAATCTATATATATATAAGAATTTTACTAAGTACCCAGCAAAAAATCGGTAATCGCTTTTAGTGGTAACGTGTTCTTGAAGGCATAGCGTTATAATGCCTTCGAATTTTTTCGCTTCTTTTAGGCATTGCCAGTAATGCAAAGTAGAATGTGCTACAATATTTTATTTATCTCGCTTCTTCGTTTCATTTCGGGGAATGCAAAGTAGAATGCCCTATACTATTTATTTTTTAATTCGATTCTTTGCTTAATTTCCGGGAATGCAAAGTAGAATGTCCTACAATATTTTATTTGTTTCGTTTCTTTGCGTCATTTCAGGGAATGCAAAGTAGAATGTCCTACAATATTTTATTCGTTTCGCTTCTTTGCTTCATTTCGGGGAATGCAAAGTAGAATGTCCTACAATATTTTATTTGTTTCGCTTCTTTGCTTCATTTCGGGGAATGCAAAGTAGAATGCTGCATCGTAGTCAGCTGAAAAATGGAATGAATATCCAAAAATTCTTTTTCTACCGTTACTTTCTGTGGAAATTTGTCTCGCATAAAAATCATGTTTTGCTTTGTTCAATTTGCAGCGAAGTTGAAGTCAGTCAATGAAGTGACGTACAAGAGTGAGGAAGTACAATTTTAAGCTTAATTAAATATGCATGTATGTACATACCGATTTTAAAGAAAATCTAAATGCCTAAATACATACATATGTACGCTCATTTATAAAATTTTTTATTAAATTTAACCTTTTAAGACATTTTCTGATTTCAATTTAATATAAATAAGTATGTACTTATCTAGGCATTCTACATTAGTTTCTCTGTAAGGCATTCTTTGTTCGCTTCTCTGGATTCTGTTCATCCATGCGTTCTCCCTTCGTTTGAAGGTAATGCTGCGGGTAAGGGCTTACCTCCAATGACATGCCCATGTTAAAATAAGGCCTTCTTGAAGCGAAATGGTAAGCGATTCCCATCGCCTAGCTCGTTTCCACTTTCGTTTCTGTGGTAATCGTGTTTTTTGCTGGGTATGTTTTAATAACGGATAATCCTATCTGTCGTATACAAAAAGTAGTTATTTTATGTTTTCATAACGCCATCATGCTCGAAAATCTCAATGGATGTATTTAATTCTTTTTTGCTTTCTACTCGATGTTTTCTGTAGGTTTGTGGTAAAAAGTTTTGAAAAATAGGGTTGCCAGATATTTGAAAGTTTACAATTTTTTAAAGGTCAATAAAATATTTATTTTTTTAATTTGCTGCCTTATAACTATTATATTCAACCATTTGATTGAGTTTGAGGCCGTTTTTAATGAAAAACTATTGCGGAAAACCGACAATAATTCTATAAAAATGGTAGAATTGATAGCTATTTAGGAGATCACCACATCTCCTCATTAGACCTCTTCAGTGGGATTCGATCTAACGACCCCAGCTGACTCAGCCAGTTACCTACGCACCGTGCTAAGTTCGCCTTTTAAATTGTTGCTTTTTCCACTTTTTCATGTGCGCCAACTACACTCAAGCGCAGTTTTTCGCTTCTATTTCTATGGTTTTTGATAATATTTCTATTTTAAGAATATTTAACTTTTAGGTGTACTGACGCCACTATATAGAATTTCCAAAATCTCCACACTGATTTTAAAATAGCAATAGTGTACAAACATTTGCAGCCCTTGAACGTTTTTGTGTATGGCGCCAGTTTTTGGATATAGCTCTGTTTCGATTGACATGGAATGTTCCATATATATAAATATATACACACATTTACACATTTATATACATTTACATACATTGGTGATAAAAATAATAGAAACGCGACATTTTGGCCGGTTTCGGCTATTTCTCTCTATTTTGTACCTGCGTTTGAAAACACACTAAAGGAGTTCAAGATTTGTAGCATTTTGGATGTTTTTTTTATCTCATTTGGCCAGAATGCAATAGAAATAAAGTGTGCCAGCTAGTTTGACGAATATTTGAAACTAGGCTAGGCAGAACTGTTTGAAAGTGAACAGTCAAATCAACAGAGCAGAAAAACCAAGAAACCTTTGCAGCTATCCTTCAGGTTAACTCTTGATAGTGGCAAAGTAAAGTTAACAGCAGTTTGTTAGTGTATTTCTGACTTTTTCAAACACTGTTTAGTACTACAGTAGTTTAATTTTATTTGCCCAAAGATTAATTTTATTTACCAAAAGATTAATTTTATTTGCCAAAAGATTAAATTTATTTGCCCAAAGTTTAAATTTATTTGCCCAAAGTTTAAATTGATTTGCCCAAAGTTTAAATTTATTTGTCCAAAGTTTAAATTTAGTTTCCCAAAGTTAAAATTTATTTGCCCAGAGTTTAATTTTAATTGCCAAAAATTTAACTTAATGTGTCAATGTTATAACTACGGTGACCATCCGTCCTGTATTATTCGGGACAGTCCTCTTTTTTGACCTATTGTCCTGGTAATTGATTTATTTTATACGGGACGACAAATGTTCTGTATTTCTTTTATTTTACTGTATTTGTCCCGTATTCAGTATTAGGCATTTTGACGCCTTTGCAGCTCATTAAAATGGCATGCCTATGAACCAGTCTTAAGTGATGTTGGTATATGATCGTAATTTTCTCCATAAACAGCAATTATTTTCTAATCTGAATGCGAATGCCTGTTATTCGAATCGAGGAATACATACAGTGACCAAAACATTAATGAGGACCCGACTTTTAGCAAGGTTTGGCCATTTTTCGTTAATTTATTTAATGTTTATTATTTTTTATGAAAGCAAAGCTCTTTTCCGAACAATAAATCCAAATTTCTGACTTGGTGCAAAAAACTGTAAAAATTAATTCTGCAATGTTTCACCAAAATTTCAAACTTTTTAATTAGAATCTTTAAGAAAAAAGATTTGGTTTGCAGTTTTGTAGCTCATTAAATTCGAGTATAATAAGGGAACGTACCCATACTACGTGACCCGTTCAGGGGGGGAAGAG